AAAAAGAAGTAAATACTTACAATTTTCAAGAGCACTGAGCTTTGGAAAAATCAAACTTACTTGACCGTTTTCTAGCTAATTTACATCTGACACCATCGACTCCATTGAAGTAGCTGTTGCCTCATTGGCATCTTTGGTTCGGTTTGGTTCAGTGTTGTTGGTCTGGGGCTAGCCGGATTGTCCTCCACGGGAAGGGCTTACTTTTTTTCCCCTTCTCCTTTTATTTTCTTGAGCAATATTAATATCCACTGCCGGCCTGCTAAGCCAGTCACAGTTTCACCATAGCCCCGTTGGCCAGCAACGTTTCAGGGTGATCCGGGTCGGCCTTCACGGGTAGCGTAACGCCTCAGTGACATAAAGTCACACCGTACTTCACCCAGACCCAGCTATCCCCTACTTTGTCCATTTTCCATCTCCCACGGCGTGGACGAGGGGTTGGACTTCGAGAGGCAAATCAACAAAACCAATGATGACCTTCAATGACATACACCTTTGTTTTCAAGGCCATGTGTCGGAAGATCGGTTTGGGCAGTTGGTCTAAGCTTATTTATAGTGTGCACTGAAGCAAAGATAGTACACAACAAGATGGTCTACTCAGCCAAAAAAGTGTCCACCGGAAGTCCGCTCTTTGCTTCAGATGGCGCTGCAGTTTGTTTTGAAGCTCTCTTTCGCTTCTCCAGAAGAAGAATAGGAATAGCACCTCCTTGCGTGCGCAGATCAACTGCTGTTTATCAGTTGCTCGGGTTCGTTCAGTGCGGAGTTTTAGGGTTTTAAAAATTTTAATGACCTCTCGCCTTTCATTCTAAAGTTAGATAAAAAGAAGAAAACCTTCACCCCTTCCTCCGGAAGAGGTATTTTTGTCAGCGTAACCATTTTAAAAAAGCGTTCTTCCGAAATTTGAATTCTTATTTATTCAAAAACTTGTTAGTTTCACTTTGATTTTTTAAAAACACAAGTAGGGTAACTCTGTTCGCAGAGTCTGCGCATTTGCGAAGAGGACGCCACCGAATTTTGAGGACACTTTTTAATTGGCTCAAAGAGAGTAGTGGCCCCTCTTGTTATGTAGACTCTTTGACAGAAGCCACCAGAAACCGAACTGAACTGAACAGATCCTCCAATGGTCACCACCTATTATGTACTGCTTTA